GGGGGGGGGGGGGGGGGGGGGGGGGGGGGGGGGGGGGGGGGGGTACAGGGAATGATGCTGGGGCGAGAGATTGCGGGTTGTTGGGGCTTGCTGTTCCGTGTCTTTGAAAAGTGGGCGCAGCAGCCCTCGCGCCCTCCTTGGTTGTATACTTGGTATATATCTGCTGGCCGCGCGCGTGGTTTGCACGGTTCTCCGGCTTAACAACCGCGCGACCTCGTGCGTGTATATAAACAATTGATTTCGCCATATTCGCGGGTTGAGGCTGCGGTTGGTTGTGTCGAGGTTGCCTTTTTTTTTTCTGGTTATGGGGGCGAGGGGGTACGGTATTTTTTTTTTGGTTTTTCACTATACCCTCAGAACGCGTCGCCGTCTCTCAATATCGTTGGTGTGGTGTGCGCAATTTTCGGGTTCGTTGCTCTTAGATACCTCGTTTGTTTTTTTCTCGCCTACTACGACATAGCTATTCTGGATCCCCGCATTTGCGCGTCACATGTACAATAAGACGCTATTATCTATTGTGGCGGAGCGGCGGCATGTGCTTGTTCCCCCCCTTGTTCTGTATGTTCTGTTCTGTTCTGTTGTACCCATGGCATGCCACACGAACGTCCTATCTATGCATGGGTAGGTGTGAAGCGGAACGTAGAGAAGAGAACAGCAACAGAGCTAAAAAAAAAAAGTGTTTGGACGGGGCATACGGGGGATGCTGGATCGTAGCGCATTGATGTGCAGGTAGTCCTTTCGTCTTTATTTTCGGAGGGGGGGGGTATGGTTTGGGGTATGGTTGTTGTGGGTCTACTTCAAGTACATGGTCTCAAGTGGACGTGGTATGCCGTGAGATTCTCTCTGCTAGTTTTCAGTGTGGGTGGGCGTGTGTGATGTACGTAAGGTCTGTCTGATGACGTAGTAACTCGAAACCAATTACGACCCAGGACGGACGGCCGTCTGCTTGTTTGTGGAACATCAACGATTCACGCACGACGCTCACACAAGAGGTGATTGATGCCGGTCCCAACCGAACCAACCGCGAGTAGGTTTGTTTTCACGAACGATCCTCATAAAGGCGGCAGGTCAAGTCCCCAAGTTTGTTCCGCACGGCGCTTGTCGCTTGCGTCACCCAACGACTGATGATGACATGTGTATGTGTGCATGTGTGATGTGCGGACGAAAATTCACGCGAAGCAAAGAGAGAGTGTGGCTTCATCATATTATCTGGCTGGCTGGGTTTATACGGACCGGGCAGTCGTTCTTGGATGTCATGTATGTGCGGTTGGTTTTGCACGAACGTACGTAAAACACTCGTTGGCGTTGCTACGGATGGATGTTTTGAATGAATTGAGTGCGTCGCTTGGGTGTGGCCATTCCCTCCACGCCACATGTATACAGCAGTATACAGATTATTTTCTCGAATGATTAATCTATGGAAGAAAGGCCAAAACATGGAGGGTACAGTCTTCCGAAACGGCTGATGTTCGGCGAGTTGGTGGGAGGGGAGGACCCGGGCCGGGGAAACCCGGAGCAGAACTGGCTGACATGCCTGAAGGACGACATGAAGATGTTCGAAGCCAGGTACGGCTCCACGACCGACAAGCCGAGCGTCTTCGGAGTCCCGAAGTTAGTCTGGAGTGAGGCGGCGAAGGTGGAGGGGGGGGTACCGTGGCACGCGGGGGTGCTACAGGGAGCTGAGAGGTTCATGGCCTCTTGGCACAAGGGCAAGGAGGAGGCCAGCCGACAACGAGCCATC